CGTCCCGGGGCGCCTCGGCCCGGAGAGCCGGCGGCGCGCCCAGGAGCTCCACATTGGTCACGGTTTTGCCGATGGTGAACCAGTCGTTAATCTGGTCGAGGGTGAGCTTACGCAGCATGCTCGGAGCCCCGCAGCACGCCGGCCTCAACCGCTCGTCAGTGCGGCAGGAGCGGCGGCGGCGGGAACGCGGCGCCGCCCTTCCGGCGCCCGCCCCAGCCCTCCAATCAGAACGCACCACATAGGCCGTGCCGCCACGTGCCGCTGTGCGCGCTCCCCGTGGCCTCACCCGCCAGCGCGCAAGGCCCGCTGGGAGCGTGTTCATTTTGGGCTTGACGCGACAGGCGTGCGAGCCCTGGGGACTCGGATGTGGAAGAAAATGGCTGGGAGGCATTCTCAGACCTCACCATTTAGGGCAACAAGATCTGAGGCTTGCACACTTGAAGCAGATAAGAAATGGGCATTTATTGAGCACCTGCTGAGGAGCTCTGGGGGCGTTGAGAATAAGACACTCGGCTACTACCTAGAAGGTCAGAAGTTCAAACCCACCAGCCTCTCTGCGGAAGGAAATTGGGGTGATCTATTTAAGTAAAGATTTAAAAAAAAAAAAACTTAACTGCCCTCGGTCGTATCCGACTGATAGCAGACCCCATTGGGTTTCCGAGGCTGTAAATCATGGAAGTAGATTGCTCAGTCTTCCTCAAAGCAGAAGATTTATGGCCTCCGAAACCCAGTGAGGGTTGCTATGAGTCAGAATCAACTAGATAGCAGTGAGTTTGGTTGCCTTTGATTTTGCTGTGTCCCTGGCCAGTAAAGACCCTGAGCATGGGTAACATGGAGGGCAAACCAGAGAGTGTGTTGCTGTGTTTTAGAGTCAAACTGCTGTGGGCTGTTAACCTGACAAACCCTTGCATCTAATTTGGATGAGAACAACAAAAGAAGGTCGGGAAGTTTTCTTGGGTAAAATCACACCTCAGTGGGCAACAATTTATATTTGTCTCTTCTTCAAATCTGCAAAGTGATTTTTTTTTTTTCCTTACAATTTCCACTTCTCTGCTGAAGGATGAAAAAGACTGAGCTAGATGAAAGGGAACTTTTAAGAGACATTACAAGACAATGTAGTTCGTGGATGAAGGCCTGAAGCCAGGTGGCCTTGATGGCTGAGTTTAAGAACTAACTGAAGTTCTCTGGAGGTGAAATAGAACTCAGTATAGTTCCTCATCTTCCTTCCTAAATCTGCATCCACAGGTGTCACTATCTTACAAACAACTACAGAGAGACACTTGTGGGGCCCTCAGTTTGTTGTGGTGTGGTGGCTTGTGTGATGCTAGAAGCTATGGTACCAGTATTTCAAACACCGGGAGGCTCATCCATCTTGGACTTTAGCAGAGCTTCCAGACTGAGACAGACTAGAAGGACCTAGTGATCTATATCTGAAAAAAATGGCCACTGAAAACCTTATACCTAGGAGCAAAACATTGTCTGATATGGTGCCAGAGGATGAGCCCCTCAGGATAGAAAACAAAAAACCAAACTCATTGCTGTTGAGTTGGATCCGACTCATAGCAAACCCCTCCTTGGGTTTCCAAGGCAGTATTACTACAGAGGTAGATTGCCCAATCTTCCTTCCAAGGAGTGGCTGGTGGGTTTGAACTGCCAGCCTTCTGGTAGGTAGTAGAATGCTTTAGGCACTATGCCACCAGAGCTCTGGGGAATAGCTGCTTTCTCAGAATAGAACCAACCTTAATGATGTGGATGGAGTAAAGCTTTCATGACATGACTCAAAATGGGAAGAAACACCTGCAAACATCCAATCATAAGCAGAATATGTAATGTATGAGGTATGGATCTAGGAAAAATTGGAAGTTATCAACAATGAAATGGAATACAGAAAGATTCATATTTAGCTATTATTGAGCTGAAATGGATTGGTATTGGCCACTTTGAATTAGAAGCAAATTGAAGACTAATGATGGCATATTCATCATCAAAGGGATCATTTCAACATCTGTCCTAAAGTCCAGTGCTGTCACCAATAGAATGATATCCATACACCTGCAAAGAAGACCAGTTAATAAAACTATTAGATTTACTCACCAACCACTAGTGCCAAAGATGAAGAAATTGAACATTTTTACCAGCATCTGCAGTCTGAAATTGATCAAAATTGCAATCAAGATGCATTGATAATTACTGGTGATTGGATTGATAGCTGGAAAATACAGCCTGATAGAAATGGTGATAGAGCTCTCATGATAGAATTTTGCAAGACCAATGACTTATTCATTGCAAGTACTGTTTTTCAACAATATAAGCAGTGACTATATATGTGGACCTCACTGGATGGAATACACAGGAATCAAATCAACTACATCTGTGGTAAGAGGTAATGGAGAAAGTCAGTATCATCAGTCAGAACAGGGCTATGAGCCAACTGCAGAATAGACCATAATGCAGTTGAAGCTGAAGAAAATTTTTTTTAAAAGTCCACATGAGCCAAAGTACAACCTTGAGTATATCCATCTGAATTTAGAGACCAACTCGGGAATAGAATTAATGTGTTGAACATTAATGATCAAACACCAGATGAGTTACAGAATGACATCAAAGATATCATACATGAAGAAAGTAAAAGATTATTAAAAGGACAGGAAAGAAAGAAAAGACCAAAATATATGTCAGAAGAGACTCTGAAACTTGCTTTTGAACATAGTGTCACTAAAGCAAAAGGAGGAAATGATTACAGAAGAATTAAATGGAAGGTTTCAGAGGGCAGGTCAGGAAGACAAAGTAAAGTATTGCCATGAGATGTGCAAAGACCTGGAGTTAGAAAATCAAAATGGAAGAACATGGCCGGCATTTCTCAAGCTGAAAGAACTGAGGAAAAATTTCAAACCTGGAGTTGCAATATTGAGGGATTCTTTGGGCAAGATACTGAATGACACAGGAAGCATCAAGGGAAGATGGAAGGAACACACAGAGTCACTGCACCAAAAGGAATTGGTTGACATTCCACCATTTCAAGAGGTAGCATATGATCAAGGGCTGATAATATTGAAGGAAGAAGTCCAAGCTGCACTGAAGGCATAGGTAAAAAGTAAATCTCCAAGAACTATGTAATACCAATTGAGATGTTTCAACAAACAGATGCAATGTTGGAAGCACTCACTCATCTATGCCAAGAAATGTGAAAGACAGCTACATGGCCAATCAAGGGGGAGAAATCCATATTTGTGCTCATTCCAAGGACAGGTGATCCAACAGAATGAGGAAAAAATCAAACAATATCATTAATATCACATGCAAGTATAATCTTGTGTAAAATAATTCAAAAAGTTGCAATGGTACATAGGAGACTGCCATAAATTTATACTGGATTCAGAAGAGGCTGTGGAACAAGGAATATCATTGCTGATATCAGATGAATCTTGTCTAAAAACCAGAAAGATGTTTGCCTGTGTGTTATTGACTATGCAAAGACATTGGACTGTGTGAGTCTTAACAAATTACAGATAACATTGCAAAGAATGGGAATTCCATACCACTTAATTGTACTCATGAGGAACCTGTACCTGGAGTAGGAGGCTGTCGTTCAAACACAACAAGGGGATATTGCATGGTTTTAAATCAGGAGGAGAGTGTGTCAGGGTTGTATCCTTTCACCATACTTAGTCTGAATGCTTCTTGAAAGGAAGATTGGGCAATTTATTTCCATAGAGATACTGCCTCGAAAACCAAACGAGGAGTCTAAGTTCAAAGTGCTCTAGGGGCTGGGTGAAATCTTCTCAACCTTGGGGTCCAGCTCTGCCTCCTGTTCCTGGCCCACTGGAACTAGAGGCGTTTCTTCACTCAGCTGCTAGCTGCTAGGGCTGACAAACCCAAGGTTGACAAATAAAAAGGCACAGTCCCGATGTTACCAAACCACACAGCAGGCCATTAGTTTAAGTCCATTGTAAGTCCCAAGGTCAGCAGAGCATGGCAGGCTGCTGAATAATGACATGGCTACATGCAGGGTCCAAGTGTGCCATAAGCTAGAGACCATTCCCAAAGCTGTGAACGGCACTGAGTTTTGAGTTTGAGTCTGTATGCTGAGCAAATAATCCAAGAAGCTGGATTATGTGAAGAGGAACATGGCATCAGGATTGGAGGAAGACATTAACAACCTGCGATATGCAGATGACACAAGTTTGCTTGCTGAAAGTGAAGACGACTTGAAGCACTTACTGATAAAAATAAAAAACTAAGGTCTTCAGTACGGATTACACTTCAACATAAAACAAAAATCCTCACAACTGGACCAAAAAGCAACATCAAGAGAAATGGAGAAAATAATTGAAGTTGTCACAGATTTCATGTCACTTGGGTCCACAATCAACACCCATGGAAGCATCAGTCAAGAGAAAAACAATGTAGTGCATCGTGCAAACCTGCTGCAAAAGACATCTTTAAAGTTGTTGTTGTTAAGTGCTGTCGAGTCATTTCCGACTCATAGCGACCCCATGCACAGCAGAACGAAACATTGCCCCATCCCACGCCAGCCCCACAATCCCTGCTATACATGAGCCCATCATCGCAGCCACCGTGTCAATCCATCTCGTTGAAGGCCTCCCCCTCTTTCGTCAACCCTACCAAGCATGACATCCTTCTCCAGGGAATGGTCCCTTCTTACAACATGACCAAAATAGGTGAGACGAAGTCTGGCCATTCTTGCTTCCAAGGAGC